AGGCAGAACACAGGAAGAGCCTAGGACATGTCACACTTACTCAGTGGCCCTCAACTGCTGTCATTTGCCTTTGCCAGTGGCATGAAGCAGCACTTGTTAGAGTATCTGTGGTGCGTCATGCTATCAAGTCTGCAGAGGTTAGGTTTGGGACTCTTACCCTACCTACAGCATAGCCTTCTTCAGGCACAGAGATAAGAAAATGTAGATGAAAGTTAAGTTTATCTCTGAGGATGCCTTCACCCACTCTCCTTCCCTCTCAGTTCTCTGCCTCCTCTTCCTACCTTTAAAAACTTTTTAAAATTTTAGTTTCATTCGTATCTACTTGCACTGTTGGCTGGGAAATTTTTCTTTGGAAATACTGACGTTTGAAATTAAGCCCTTTCCTTTGCTAGAAAGGTGCTCTACCACTATTATCTGTCATTGTTTGTATTCTTGATAACGGCCATTCTAATTGGGGTAAGGTGCAATCTCAATGTTGTTTTGATCTACTTTCTTCATTACCAGAGATGTGGAGCATTTCTTCGTGTGTTCATTGGCCAGTTTTACTTCTTCTCTCTGTAGCTTGTTAGCTAATTTGTTAATTAGGTTGTTGGTTGTTCTTATAGTTTTACTACTGAGAGTTTTTTATGCTATTGAGTCTGTCTGTGGGGGGAAGACTGGAAGAATAGAAGCCATGGATTTTTAATACTGATATCCTGCTTGTATTTCCAAATTTCTAAATTAGAATCTGCTGTGGTTAGGGAAATTAAGTTAGCATATTTTTAAGATCATATTTAAAATAAACTATATCAGATCTAGTATCTCATCTGCAGGAACATGGAAACATCAGTAAATAGACTTTTTATGTGATTGCACTGTAGTGATTTTTAGAAACTGATTCACTTGCTCTTTCTTTCAAGATGGCTCTAGGTTTCATTTGATGGGATAGTAACATTTTAGTAATCAAATGATCTAACCTTTGCAGTAAAGCTTTTTCCAGCAGAGGATGCTGTCTTCTAGTACTTCAATATGTAGTAGTTTTATCCTCTTTACCATTTATACTTTTACCACAATCCTCATCTTCATTTGTTTGGTAATTACATCATATCTCCTCAGCTTCCCCCCAATAGTCCCCATATCTTTTTATGATTCACAGAAAAGTTTCTTATCTTCTCCATTTTGTTAATTGCTAAGACTACATGTGCTAAGCACATTTCTGTCCTAAAAAGCCCAGCCAGAATGTCGCATTCTTAGAAACGTTCCTACAATTAATCACACTTCCCATGAACGATTGTTTTCATCCCTGTATTTTATAATACTTTTAATCTTTCTAATTTAGCTCTTAACCTATTAACATTTATTTAGTTTTCTAAATAAATTTATATTTATATACAGTTGTTATGTAGATTTTATGAAGTCAGGTCTAACTTGTCTCAAAGTACACTGCCAAAAGATTTTACTTGCTAATAATTTTTCCAGATACTTGCAAATGTGTTTTTTCAAGTACTTTCTATATCAAGTATCAATTTTTTTGGTGGATACGGCCATCTACTCATCTACATGCATGTGTGCACACACATAGACACACATACAGGAAAACTGGACTCTTTTATCTTTAAGTTGTTGTACAAGGAAGTTGCCATTCAACAAAGCAGTTTATGAATACATCTTTCATCATTCTTCCTCATCCCTCTCAACTCTACTCTGCCCCTCATTTCTTTTAATTTGTAGGGTATGCATAGAATTTTATAACTGCATTCTTCCCTCTTTCCTCTATTGATTTGTCTACCTCCTTTCCTAGCCCTGCCTCACTTTTCAAGTACCCTTTTTTGTAGTATTTGTTTGAAGGGTAGCCTTTCTAAAGATATATCATTTGAGTTCTCCCTTGAGTGTACATTGTTTACTACATTAGTGTACACTGCATACAACCCCAGACTGTTTACTTATACATTCATAAATTGATTCTAGCTTCCATATATTAGAAAAATATGCATCCTTGACTCTCTGGATGAGAGTCAAAGTAGGCCTGACTCATTTCACTTAAAATGATCCTTTTTGTGACCTTCCATTTCTTTGCAAATGATGTAATATTCTTCCTAATGGATGAGTTTATTCCATTTTGTATATATATCACATTTTGAATTCATGTTTCCATCAAGGGTCATATGGGCTGGTTCCATGCCTTAGCTATGGTGAACGGTGCTGCAATAAATATGGTGGTACTGGTGGCTTTACTGTATCCTAGTTTGTACATTTATCCTTTTGGATAAATGCCCAAGAGTGAGATTGCTGGATCATAGGAAATTCTCTGTTTAGTTCTTTGAGGAAGCTCCACACTGCTTTCCAGAATGGTTGAACAATTTACATTCCCATTGATAGTACTTTAGGGTTACCTTTTGCCCACATCTATGCCAGCATAGATTGTTCAGATTTTTTGTTGTTGTTGTTGGTCATGGGGCTTGAACTCTGGGCCTCGGTGCTGTCCCTGAGCTATTCAGCTCAAGGAGAATGCTTTACCACTTGAGCCACAGCACCACTTCTGGTTTTCAGGTGGTTAATTGGTGATAAGAATCTCACAGACTTTCCTGCCCAGGCTGGCTTTGAACTGTGATACTCAAACCTCAGCCTCGTGAATAGCTAGGATTACAGGTGTGAGCCACCAATGCCCAGCTTGTCTATATTCTTAATGATGGCCATTCTAACTGGAATGAATGGATTCTTAGTGTGATTATTTTTCCTAGTACGGGGAGTGTGTTTTTATTCTCAAGGTTCTTTCCTCAACTCTATCACTTGAGCCATTGCTTCACTTGTGGCTTTTTGCTGGTAAATTGGAGACAAGAGTTTCACAAACTTTTCTGCCTGTGCTGGCTTCCAATAACAATTGTCAGATCTCAGTCTTCTAAGAAGCTAAGATTACAAGTATGAGCCACCTGCACCTGGCATCAGTGTTATTTTGATCTGCATTTCCTTTATGGCCAGAGATGTGGAACATTTCTTTGTCTATTGGCCATTTTTACATCTTTCTGAGATGTCTCTATTGAGCTCATTTTCCCATTTAGTAATTGGATTGTTGATGCTTTGAGGGTTTAGTTTCTTGGGCTTCTTGTATATTCTGGATATTAGGCCATTGTCTGATATCTAGCTGGCAAAGATATTCTCTCATTGTGTAGGCTGTCTTTTTAGCTCATTAACTACCTCCTTTGCTACACAGAAACTTTTTAGGGCTCATTACTTTTGAAATTAAATTTTACTTACCTACTCAAGCCTTCATACATTTAGAAAGACTTGTATTTAGTTTATTAATATTGGTTCTGCATTTCAATAACCAGTATGCTTTGAAGTTTTATGATGTTGACTTAGCTAGGATGAGAAAGGGCAGATGTGGAAACAAGACATGAGGAAGTTGGTCAGAATAAATCATACAGGTTATAGATTGTATTTCAAGATATGGGGTGACAGAAACCATCTTGTTATCTGCCAGTCACTTCTCTGGAAAGAATGTTTCTCTCCCTTTGAGGAATTGCTATGTACTGACAATAGCTGCTCATGTTCCTTGAAGGGGTTCTCAGTGACTCCTTCAAAAACTCTGGAGTTTTTAAGGTCTGGAAAGAAGTGGGATGGGACGGAATGTGAGATTGTTGTTCCAGTGTAAACTTGTTGCTGGCTCCTCTCCTGGTCTCAAAGTGGTAAAGACACCACTGTCACAGCGAGGGCTGAGGTCGGTACCCAGAGGTGAAGCTGGTTAAAGCCAGACTCCTAGTGGGCTCTCTACTCTTCTCAAACATATCGGGTGCCCAGGGGGGTGAGATCATAGCATGGGGAAAATCAGTCAGGGATTGTGGAAGAGTGAAAGGAAACCTGGTTTTTCCCTTTCTTTCTGAGTTCTTTTAACCCCTGGACAGCAGTGTTTGTCTTGATCAAGTTCTATGGCAAATGAATCCTCTATACAAAATCTTATTTACCCTGTTATTTCTATGGAATTATATCAATAACTTAAACAAGAGTTTCTATGAATTAAGATTTCAGTTAACATTTACTAATCTATATCTGCTCAACAGGATATTAGCTATATGCCTCAGACATAAGCTTCCTTTATACCCAGATAAGCTCAAGTCAAATGGCTTATCATTAGTCATGTGCACAATGGGAAAACCCTAGGTAAGTCACACCTGTCCCTACAGCACAAGGCATAACATAAAAATCAGATTTACTGGATGATTTTGGTAAGAAAATATATATGCTTCCCAGAAAGAAATGCGATGGCTTTGAGATCCTGCTAAACATGGATGGCCCCACAGGTCACAGTGATCCAACTATGCTGCAGATGACAGATGTGCATGTGTTTTAATGCTTCACATCTCTGGTGGAGAAAGGACCTTTACATTTCTAGGGTTTGAGGCAAGGGAAACTAAAGGGAAAAATAATAGTTAAGAAATGCAGTGTGAGGTTTTAGAAATCAAACATTTTAAAGATACTAGCTGATTGTCTCAAAGGCCTTAAAATACTTTGGGAAATATATGTGATTTTGGTAGCAGCCAATAAGCTCTAAATATATATAGGAATATATATATACACTTGCATATATAGATAAGAATGTAGCCAGGCACCAGTGGCTCATGCTTGTAATCCTAACTACTTAGGAGGCTGAAATCTGAGGACTGCAGTTCAAAATCAGCCCAGGTAAGAGACTCTTATCTTCAATTAACCACCAGAAAACTGGAAGTGGTGCTCAGACTTAAAGTGGTAGTGCGCTAGCTTTGAGCAAAAAAGCTCAGAGACAGCACCCAGGTCCTAAGTTCAAGCCCCACAACTGACAAAAAAAGGATGTATATATACATATATGTATATATATGTATATTTATATAAGCATATATATATGAGTTTAGGTATTAGTGTGCTATCAGAAGAGATAATAGATCCTTGGAGACTAGTCAGGTCAAATTTAGTAAGTTAATAAAGACCCACAGAGCTAGTAAGGATAGAGAGGGGCTTTGATGGCATAGATTTATAAGTTTCTATGAATGGAAGAACTGACTGGGATAGAAAATAATGGAGAGATGCAAGAGGAAATGCTGGAAAGATCACAGGAAAGCAAGGTAGAAAACTTAAGGGTAGAATTGACAGATGTTAAAGGAATGTTTGTGAAATCACAGAGGAGCAAGAGTCAGCGGTGAGATCTACAGATGTGGAGATTATCCACCTTATTCCTTCATTTTGCTCCCTTAAGGCCAGCTGTGTGTACATTTTCAATTTTCTAACCATTTGTCTTTTGTGAACATGGGAATAGGTCATCTCACATGTCTACATTCCTTATATTGGTAGCAAATGAATGAACAGTTAGGCAGCAACTACACCTAGTAAGAGAATAGCTTTAGCTACTTGTTAGGCATTGGAGGGAAATACTCTGCATCACATGGCGCATACTTCCACAGATTGCATTCCCACCTGGGCGCCTCAGCCTAACCAGCTGCACTGTGCCTTCAACACAGAGGCTGATGAATAATTTCTCGCTTGACGGGCTGGATTATTCATATGTTTGTTGAGTAAATATTGACTGAGCACAATGCTGCTCAGGCACTCTTCTGGTCACCAGAACTGCGTGTGAACAAACAAGTCTCTAGTAGAGTCATAGTACCAGTCGAAGATGCTAGGTGAGGAAAGAAACAGGCATGAAATGCAGTATGTATACGTGTGTGCATGTGTCCATGTGTTTGGGTAGTGAGATTAAAAACAGTGAACTGGGTCAAAGTTAGTCTTTTTTTAAAATTTTTTTTTGTAAAGATGCTGTACAGTGAGGTTACAGTTACGTCAGTAAGGTAATGAGTACATTTCTTGCCTGGCATTGTTAACCCTCCTTTGTTTTTCTCCCACTATCCCTTCCCCACCTCCCCGGCCCCCAGCAAAGTTGTAAGGTTCATTTCCCACATAGTGTCTTGTGAGTCATTGTTGCAGTGGGTCATCCTGTGTCCTTGTTTCAGCATTGTTATTCCCTTTCCACTCCCCAAATTAGATAAATGTATATACAAGATGCAATGTACCAAAATCAAGTACAGTGACTACAGGGATATACCATAGGAGGAAGAACATACAAAAGAAACAAAGAAAAAAAAATCAGATAGTACATTAAAAACAACAACAACAACAAAGAAAAACCTCTGTGCCCATATCTTGGGGTTCATTTCACTTAGCATCATCTTGTATGGTCATATGTACATAGCTTTTGAGTTATTCTGCTCATCTGATAAGATTATCCTAGATACATACTAATTATTGCAATCAAGGTTAGTCTTCAGCATGGTTAATGGAAGATTCTAGAAGAGGTATTTTTGATGAAGAGGCTTTGAGTGATGCCAGTGACTGTTAGCCTTTAAAACTGGTACAGTGAAGAACAGGACTCACTAATGGGAGAAGGATGGGTGGTAGGGAGGGTATGGGACTGTTTTCAGAGAGGGCACCTGGGGCTGGACTGGGGATTCACAGGGCAGACGTTGAGAATTTTGACATTACGCTAAATGTGATGCAAGCCTTTGATGACGTGGGTTGACGTGATTGGGTTCTCATTTGAGCTGAATCATGCATCTGCTGAGGGGATGGGTCTTAGAGTGAGAGCAGGTATAAAGTTAAGAGGACATTTACATTGTCCTGGTGAGCCCTGGTGCGCCGTTTTGGTGGTTTGAACTGAAGATAGAGGTGAAGCCCAGAAGAGGAAGGTGTTACAGATCTTGAGAATACATTTGAAAGTTGTTTTTTCTGTTATGTGAAAAAACCAAACCGGATGACTCAAGGATTTGGACTTGAACAACTGGATAAATGAATAGTGGCATATTAGTATAATGGAGATGCAGAAAAGGGATTGCCTTTGGACCTGGCTAGTTGGGTATGAAGTGTAAATTTGATACCTGAGTTAAGTGGAGAGGCTAAGATGGTAGAAATAAATAGTGGACTCATCTCTACACAGCATTGTGTCAGCATGGTGCTGACGGACACTTCTTTAGCTCTGGTGACTAACAAAGTTTATACTGTGTACTGAAAATGACATGGAGTTACATGTTACTGTCCTTACATACACAGTGGAGTCTCATTGCTCTATAACATGCTTCCCAGAGTTAGAGTTCTTCGCTTCTTTTTATCAGATATTTGAAGGCAAATGAAGGTGCTATGCTTTGTGCTCTGTGGCCATGGGGACAAATCAAGTATATCCTAAAGGTTTCAACTGAACAATCTGGGAACATCTAGAAGAGCTATATTTAAAAAGAAAGGATAAAGCTGGGTACAGGTGGCTCAAGCCTGTAATCCTAGCTACTCAGGAGGCTGAGATCTGAGGATCGCAGTTCAAAGTCAGCCTGGGCAGGAAAGTCCCTGAGACAGTTATCTCCAATCAACCACTCAGAAAACCAGAAGTAGTGCAGTGGCTCAAGTGGTAGAGAGCTAGCCTTGAGCTGAAGAGCTGAAGGACAGGGCCCAGGCCCAGAGTTTATCTGAATTAGGGAAGGGAAGGGGAACAACAAAAGGACAAAGGGGGAACCAATGCAACAGCGATACAGACAATATGTTAGAAATGGACTGTATAACTTGTGGGGGGGGGAGTTGGAGGAAGGGAGGTAAGGAGGTGGTAACAAGTTTGATAAGAAAGGTACTCTACCTCACATATGTAACTGTAACCCCTCTGTACATCACCTTCACAATAATATTTTAAAGAATGGGAAAGCAACTCTAAAGAGTTCTATAGGAAAGCACTGAAGATATATCAAGGTCATTGCACCCAAGCCAACTCCGTCCAGCTTCTGGGTAATCGTGAAGCACTCTCTCATTGGCCTGCATTATTTCTTGTCTCACATCTTACAGTATGATTCGAGGGGCCACTTCTAGGATGTACTTTCTAGAGATGTTCCAGGAGAATGTCCTTCAGATATTTGTTACTAGTTTTAAAGAGCTTTTAAGGACACACTAACACTTTTCCCCCATGATTGAATTCAGCTCTAAACATTCCAGTATCTAATGGGCTTGCACTAGAAGTACATTCATCTACTGAAGGGTATAATTTTCTCTGTATTTGTTTGTGTGTGTACCACATGATCTGAGTTATCAACCTCCTAAGTAGCTTGGATTAGAGACATGAGTCAATGGCCCATCTTCATCTTTTTTTTTTTTTACTAAAACTTTTTTTATTGTGAAAATACTGTACAGAGGGGATACAATTACATGGGCAAGGTAATGAGTACATTCCTTATCAAGCATTATCGTCTCCTCCTTTGTTCCCCTTCCCATCCCTTTCTATCCGCGACCCCCCCAAAGTTGTAAAGTTCGTTTTTCAACATAACGTCTTGTACATCTCATTGTTGCAATGGGTCCACCTGTATCCCTATTTAAGCAACTTGTTTTTTCCTTTCCTCTCCACAAAGTATACCAACATCAAATACAGTGAAAACAGGAGTTATACCGTGGGGGAGGGACATACAAAGCAACAAAGAAATAATCTTATAAATATGTTAGAAACAATAGCAAGAAAGATAAAAACATTTGAATCCTTATCTTGGGGTTCATTTCGCCTAACATCAACTTATCTGACCATTTCTGCTTGTCTCAGACATTTACTAGTTACTGCAAATAAGGGAAATCATGGGGCCTATGTTTCTTTGGGCCTGGCTTACTTCACTTAATAGAATTTTTTCCAAGTCTTTCCATTTCCTAACAAATGGGGTGATGTCATTCTTTCTGATGGAGGCATAGAATTCCATTGTGTATATATACCACATTTTCTTGATCCATTCATCTACTGAGGGGCATCTGGGTTGGTTCCATATCTTAGCTATGGTAAATAATGCTGCAATAAACATAGTTGTGCTGGTAGCTTTAGTATGATCTTGGATCATTTGGGTAAATGCCGAAAGTGGGATTGCTGGGTCATAGGGGAGCTCTATGTGGAGTCTTTTGAGGAACCTCCATACTACTTTCCAAAGTGGTTGAACAAGTTTACACTCCCACCAATGCAGTAAGGTTCCCTTCTGTCCACATCCCCTCCAGCATCTGTTGTTATTAGAGTTCTTGATTATAGCCATTCTAACTGGGGTGAGGTGGTATCTCAATGTTTTGATTTGCATTTCTTTTATGGCTAGGGAGGTTGAGCATTTCTTCATGTGTATTGGCCATCCTTCTTTCCTCTTCAGAGAAGTTTTTCTTTAAGTCTTTAGCCCATTTCTTTATTGGACAGTTGTTTCTTTGAGAATTTGTTGTTTGGGGATTTAATTTTTTGAGTTCTAGGTATATTTTAGATATGAGACCCTTGTCCATTGTATGGCTAGTAAAGATCTTCTCCCAATCTGTGGGCTTTCTATTGATCTTGCTAGCTATATCCTTTGCCATGCAGAAGCTCTGCAATTTCATACAATCCCATTTGTCCAACCTTTTTTTGATTTGTTGTGTTTCTGGGTCTCTATGAAGAAAATTTCAGCCTGTGCCAAGGAGACCTAGGGTTTCTCCTATTCCATCCTGTAATGTTTTCAGAGTGTCTGCTTTGACTCTGAGGTCTTTGATCCATTTGGAGTTGATTCTGGTACAGGATGATATATAAGGATCTAGCTTTAGTTTTCTACAAGTAGTTAACCAATTTTGCCAGCACTATTTACTGAAGAGGCTGTCTTTCTTCCATTCTATTTTTGTTTTTAGCTCCCGTATCGAAGATTAGATAGCTATAGGTCTGTGGGTTCATTTCTCGATTTTCAATTCTGTTCCATTGGTCCTGAAGTCTGTTCTTATGCCAATACCAAGCTGTTTTGATTACTATGGCTTTGTAGCAGAGTTTGAAATTTGGTATTGATATTCTTCCAGCACTGTTCTTTCTGTTAAGGATTGTTTTTGCTATTCAGGGTCTTTTATTGTTCCATATGAATTTTTGGATTGCCTCTTCTATTTCCTTGAAGAATGAGGTCGGAATATTGATAGCTATCGCAATGGCCCTTCTTTATCTAACATTTGTGTCTTTGTTATCCCTGGATGATGGGTGGGTACCAGCACCTGAGCAGGATTCATCCTTTTGGTGATTCCATTATTTCATACTTTTACAACAGAGGGACACTATAAGTTAAAAAGATTTGCCTTGAACTGGGACGGTAGCTCAGTGGTAGTGCTTGCCTTGCATGCATGAGGCCCTGGGTTTGATTCCTCAGCATCACATAAGCAGAAAAAGCGCGAAGTTGTGCTGTGGCTCAAGTGGTAAAGTGCTCACCTTGAGCTGAAGAGCTGAGGAACAGAGCCCAGGCCCAGAGTTCAGGCCCCATGACTGACCCCAAAAAAAGATATGCCTTGAAGAATTACTGGAGATATGAACAAGGCTGTCTTTTGAGTGTAAGGTCTGCTTTGGAGGTTATTATAGCTGAGTAATAATGTTTTTTTATATTTCCACGTGATTACTTACTTTTTAGAATGGTCAACTAGGAGGACATAGCCAATCTAATAGTTTTTCAGCTAGCAGTTTTGCTATCTGAATTATTCAACAAGGTTTATATAGAACCCATAGCTTTTATTGTGTCCTTTAATAATACATTTTGTCACAACTTGAATTACTCAGAGGATTTTGTATAAATTTAAACTCTACTTTACTTTTAGAATTTATGGTCAAGGTTTGTGAGACTCTTAAGGCCTATGATGATTTTCAGACTGTGGCAACAAATTTGGCCATGGTATTTTGACAGGTGAAGACAAAAATTGAAAATGTATCTATATTCACAGTTTTTCAATGTGTCAAGTTCCTAGGGCATGCAAGATTATTTTGTAATGTATTTGCTGCTTGCCACTCTGTTAACCAAAAACAATCCAGTCTGAGGGATCTAAATGTGAGAGGACATGCATGGGACCTATTTCATCTGAGGGAATTTGTGACAAAGCATTCTTGAAATACTTGAGGTGGGTCTCCTGCTTTTTTTTTTGTTGCAAAATACATATTTCTTACTGCCAAAATACATCATAAAAATTAAACTTAAGTCTGAAGTTTACCTTAACCATTTCAAAACATTTGTTGATGAGAATCACTGCCATCAACCAAGACATACGCTATAATACTATTTTAAGAAGAAAAAGCAAGTATTCATTTCTGATTCTCCCCTTCCTCCTCCCTCCCCAATTCACTGATGTTTGAATGGGGGGGGAGGGGAAATCTGGGGAATGTCGGGGAGCTCAAAAGTTCTTTGTTAATCAACTCTTGAGTTAGTCTGCCTATCTGATCCTGAGTCTTCAGCTGTGACAGGAAGAAGAAAAAAGACAAAAATAAACTAAACAGCACACCAGTGCTCTGGAAGCAGAGGCTGGTGTGGGACGCTGAAGTACCCACCCGTGCTGAGTGGCAGAGGCCGCTCTGGCGTAGGAGCCCAGGCTCAGTGATCGCACACAGCAGGGATTCGCAGCCTCCTGCACGCGCGCGCGCGCAGGTGCCCGTCCGTCCGGGGCTCTGCAAGCCAAGGAGTTTGATTTCAGGAAGGACCCGGCCACACAGAGGCTTTGGGGCGGTGGAGGACGTTTACACAGAGACGGGGGACTCGGGGTGACCCTTCCCCCCAGGGCTGCGGCCCCGGGTCCCAGTGGCCAGCGAGGCGCAGCGTTTGAATCGGGGCTTCGCCAGTTACAGGGCTCGGGGGCCCGAGGCGCGCAGACAGTTACCAAAAACCCGGGCGGCCGCGCACTGCGGGCGACGAGGGGCATCCTGGGAGGACTGCGGGGCGGCGGGGACCGACCCGGCACCACCGAGGTTCCGGGACCGGGAGGGAGGACGCCGAGCTCCAGCAGCCAGCGCGGGGCCGCGGCCGTTACCTCCCCGGACCCGCC